CTGTGTCTTTGAATATGATGGAACTCCTGAAGGATTTTCATGTCACAAATTTGGGGTGGGTGGTGTGCACCAGTATGGGAAACCAGGGTTGTGGTGTTTTATTGTACTTGTAATGATCCACATGATGGTGTTGAAAATCTACAAGTGAAATGTAAGAGCTGTGTCCCGACAGATGAGCAGTATTATGCCGTAGAGTAGACAAGAACCCGTAAAGAGGTCTTGTAGGGTTTTTGCACTGGCTCCCCACATAGTTCCTCCCAGTTTCTGAATGAGATTTATATGCATATTTGTTTTGTTTTGGATATTTTTCAGGTGTTGTGGTATGTGAGGCTTCAGTCTAATGTCAGACCAAGATATTTTGGGGTGGGATATATCTTATCTGCTTACCACAAAAGTCCACATGCAGTTCTGCTCAATCCTTTTGATTGTTTAGATGAAATGCTGACGTGACCGTCATAGTGGGGTTTTGTGTTAGCTGCCAATATAATAATCTCCCATGATTTTAAAGGTCCTTAGTTAGGATTTGTTCTATGCCTGAGTGGTTAGAGCAATATCATCAGTACAGACAAATTTCCATGCTTTCAGAAGATTGCAGGTCTAGATATTAAACAGAATCATGCTGGGACTAATCTCTGTGGTAGACTATAGTTAAGAGTGCATGGCCTACTGACCTGGTCACTGTGGAAAATGCAAAACCTGTGATTGGTCAGAACGTCTCAGAAGGGTTTTGTTATTGTATTGCATAGGATAATATTGCTGGGTTTCAAAAGGAGGCTGTTGCTCCATATGGTGTTGTAGGTGGCAGATAGTTCTAAGAAAGCTTCCTCATTCTTAAATCTTAAGAATATTCCCCACCTCAATGTGTGTTTAAGGCTAAGATGCAGCTGCAGCCTTGTCAGAAATCCTCCACTTGTTAATTCAGTAACTTTACTTCTACAAGCAACAAAATCCTTGCTAGTAATATCCTCTCCATGAGCTTGTTTGACATGCAGAGGAATAATATGGACTGGTACAATGAAGGATTAGTGGTTGCCATCCCATTTTAGCAATGGCAATAACCATAGTCTTGTCAGCTCCTTGGGACGAGCCCTGAGGAATGGATATTGGAAATCCGTGCTGCCAGCCATTTCCATCCCTTGGTCTTGAGATTTTTAAGAAATTCTGGAAAGACATGATCACATCCTGCAGCTTTCCTGCTTTTCATGGGTGAAAGGGCCTTATTTATCTCCTCAACAGTGAAGGGCAATGATGGGGAGGGGATGAGATCGGTACTCAGCTGATTGTCAGAGCTCTGCACACTTTGAGCTTAGTAGACTTGTCCCTTGATACTTGATTCCTGGCCCCTACTAAACTAGCTAATTAGCTATCAGTGTCACTGATGGACTAGTCCATCACAATAGCATAAACCAAATTGAATTTGATTTCAGAATAACACAAAGCATAGCATATTAATTGTACAAGTTGGAATAGATAATTAAGGGCTAGTAAGTTAATGAGCAAACATAACTAGGACTTAGGGCCTTGCTTCAGTACTGAGTCAGAGGAAACCTTGAAGGTTACTTTATTGCTTCATACTTTGGAAAGGCTTTGCCCTGGTTCTCGTTTTGGGTTTCATTGCTGCAAGAGGTGGCAGAATATGCCCTTCCCTAGTGTACTGCTGCTAGCCACAGACACTATTAGTGGCCCCGGTGACACATGACCAGAAAGGGTTAAACATCCTGCAGAATGAATGACTCAAATTCAAGACACCTGGGGACATAATGTTTGTGTTTTTGTGTATTTACATATATATGGGTAGTGGTCAACAGTGTAATCAACAGTCTCTGTCTATGCTATATTCTGATAATTCAGAGATCAAAAGAAATCCTAGCATTTAAATGGATTGTAAACACAGGATATAGTTGTATTCATCTCTCTTTGAAATGTATAGCAAATCATCTGTGAATGGTGGAGGAACAGGCAATTGCCTTGTTAATTCGTATAGCTAAGTACCGGTGATGGACCTACTTCAGAGTCGCCCTAATTACCCATTGTTCCCTGAGGGACTCCAACCTGTCGAAGGCCTGAATTGTATAAAAAATTCTTGGGTCCCAATCCTTTTTATCTCAGATCTCCTTAAGCTTCATCAGGGGAAGTTAAGTTGCAAGATTGAGGTCCCGGTTCAGCTGGAAACACCCTAAATATGATATTGGACACTGGACTATAACCTATGGTCTAAGTTCTAAAAACTCTTTGAAACTACAAAGCTCACCATCTCTGCTGTGTATCCAAACCTCAAGAAGTGAACTCGTGTGTGTGTGTGTGTGTGTGTGTGTGTGTGTGTGTGTGTGTGTGTGTATATATATATTGATCTTTTAACCATACTCTTTTCTTTTTTAATAAATTTTAGTTTAGTTGTTAATAATTGGCTGCAAGCATGTATTTAGGTAAGATCTGGAATATTTATTAACCTGGGAGGTAATGTGTCCGATCCTTTGGGATTGGTAGAACCTTTTCTTTTATATGACGAAATAAGATGTTCAGAAATCTTCATCATATTTGACTTGGTTACCTGGATGGAGGCCTGAGGCTGGGTTACTTTAAGGGAACTGTGTTGTTGGTTTCTGGGCAACCAGAGGTAATAAAGAAGCTGTTTTGTGCTGACTTGGTATATCTAAGTATTGAAATATCCACTAGCTTTGGGTATTGTCTGCCCCATTCTTTGCAGTTCACCATAATTGAGTGACCTCAGCTGGTCCCCATTGGGACCCCAGTCAAAGCCCCAGATTGCTTTCTCATTAGAGGCAGAGAGGTGCATTTTTAATTTGAAATATATGGAGAGGCTACCTATTGCATGTTTCACTTAGCACAAATGACAATTAAAAGTTAGTCTTTCTTACTAGCCAAAACCCTGTAAGCAGAGAGCTGTCTAGGAGGAGTTGTAGAAGGCAAAGATTTTTTCATAGATTCTAGGACTGGAAGAAGAACAGGAGTACTTGTGGCACCTTAGAGACTAAGCTTATGCATCCGAAGAAGTGGGTTGTAGCCCACGAAAGCTTATGCTCTAATAAATTCCTTAGTCTCTAAGGTGCCACAAGTACTCCTGTTCTTTTTGCGGATACAGACTAACACGGCTGCTACTCTGAAATAGGACTGGAAGGGACCTCGAGAGGTCATTGAGTCCAGTCCCCTGCCCGCATGGCAGGACCAAATACTGTCTAGACCATCCCTGATAGACCTTTATCTAATCTACTTTTAAATATCTCCAGAGATGGAGATTCCACAACCTCCCTAGGCAATTTATTCCAGTGTTTAACCACCCTGACAGTTAAGAACTTTTTCCTAATGTCCAACCTAGACCTCCCTTGCTGCAGTTTAAGCCCATTGCTTCTTGTTCTAGCCTTAGAGTCCTCCATCCTTGTAAATTTGTTTTTATTCCAGACATTATCAGGTTTTTCTGATAAAACATTTTTTCTCTGAAATGCAGGAATTAGACATCTTTTCTGTGTAAATGTCATTACTTAATGATGGGGCTGTACAGTCTACCATGTATTCAATCCATTCTCTTGGCACTGGGTTTGACCCTGCCAAAAAAACTTAATGTGCCTTTGACACACTAACTTAGTTTTGTAGTCTTAAAACATGAATGAGTAGGGTTCCAACCAAATTCACAGCCATGAAAAACGCATCACAGACCATGACATCTGGTCTCCCCGCCATGAAATCTGGACTTGTGTGCTTTTACTGTATACTATACCAATTTCATGGGGGAGACCAGAATTTCTCAAATTAGAGGTCCTGACCCAAAAGAGTTGCAGAGGGGGTCACAAGGTTATTTTAGGGGGGATTGTGGTATTGCCACCCTTACTTCTGCGCTGTCTTCAGAGCTGGGTGGCTGGAGAGTGGCGACTGCTGACTGAGGGCCCAGCTCTGCAGGCAGCAGCGCAGAAGTAAGGGTGGCAATACCATGCCATGCCCTCCTTACTTCTGTGCTGCTGCTGATAGTGGCTCCGCCTTCAGAATGGGGCTCCCAGCCAGCAGCCGCTGCTCTCTGGCCACCAAGTTCTGAAGGCAGTGCCGCCGCCAGCAGGAGCGCAGAAATAAGGGTATCAGTACCACACACACCCCTACAATAACCTTGCAACCTCCCCCCACTACTTTCTGTGTCAGGACCCCTACACTTACAACACTGTGAAATTTCAGATTTAAATAGCTGAAATCATGACACTTACTATTTTTTAAAATCCTCTGACCGTGAAATTGACCAAGATGGACTGAATTTGGTAGGGCCCTATAAATGAGAATTGGGAGGTGTATGTTTTCAAGTAGTGAGCAAGGGATGGACTGCTCAGTTCAGTATAACAGTGCTAATCAGAAAGATGTCTACATTTTTCACTTCAATTTTTTCAGAGACCCTTTAAATGCTTTGCCTTTCTCCACTGGAGAAAGGTAACTAGAATCAAATGGCACCTTTCTTCACACCTCTGCTTCCTGTGTATCTTTGAGTCACAGCTGCCGACTTTACTAGTACAAATCAAGCTTATTGATATGTGATGGAATCACAAATTTAGGTCTCATAGCATTGCAAAGCCAATACAATAATGATGAGAGGAAATTGCTCACTGAAGTGTCAGCAGATGCATTATGACCATTATGGTGCTAGACTTGGTTTCACATTTTATAGGATTATAACACAATATAGTAACTTTTTAACTTTCAGACTTCAATTTCAGTTGTCGGGCTTTCCATATTTTTGTCCCTGCAAGGTCTTTTTGGTCAATTATTGGGTTCCTGAAATATTGTGGGAGAAGACAAAGGTACTATTTTTAGAATGGAAGTGTGTACAAATCAAATAGAACAGAGAACAATTCAAAGGCAGCCATGATGCAAAGCAAACATGGGAAGACTGGGAATGTAGAGAAATGAGAGCAGAGATGCAGGTAGGCCTGGAGTTATGCAAGGCTTTGTTACATTTCACTTCCCATTGAAGGACATTAGCTGACAAACACTTGTTTTTGTAGGAGGTTTATGGAGACTCATCTGAGAACAATTCCAAGTGGAGCATTTTCTAATCTCCCCAACATCTCCAGGATGTAAGTATCCTATTTTTTTTACACTTTAATAAAAATACTAAAAGAACCACTTCTTCCCTTCCCTCAAAAAATTCTCCTTGTGGGACTCTCACACATCGAGCTACAAAGGCTATACTTTAAGATATAAGTAGTAAACTTTAAGGGTTAGGGCCATATAGTTCCTTTGTACATCCGAGTCTGTACAGCAAAAATTGGCACCATTATTAGCTGTGAGGATTTCAGTCAATCTTCACATCTTTTTTTTTATTATGTATAGTCCGCACTGGCTGTTCTTAAGCATGTAAACCAATACCAGATAAAGTAATACATCTGATACAGAGGTGATAAATGGGTTTGTTCTTACAGTTCACTGTATATGAAAAGGTGGTTTCATCCATTATAACCACCATCCTGTTTTGTCACCATGCTGGTCTTGGGCTGTATTTTCAGTGCCTTGGGGCCATTTATACCCAGTGTAAATTAGTCTTCAGGTTGTAGTATGGCACAGTGGGGCCTGGCCCTTAACAAAGGCTGCACTGGGATCAGCAGAATGCTAAAATGAGTTTTAAGTCACTTTTGTCTTTGAGAGAGCAAACACAATCAGCATTGAGGAAATGTTCCTGAGAGCACAACTTAGGTGGACCAAACATGTCATCAGAATGGAAGACCGCCGTCTCCCAAAACAGATCTTATATGGAGAGCTGAGTCAGGGCAAAAGAAAGAAGGGTTGTCTGTATAAACCAGTGGTTTTTAACCTGGGATGCACGCACCCCTTGGGTGTGCAAGATGCCCTTTCTGGTGGTGCGAGACATGCCAGATGTTTTTTAGAAGGTAAATCATCAAAAACACAAATTAAGCACAGGCACGTAAGTACAACTACTTTGTTTCTTCAAACCTATGTATTAACATTATACATTTTTAATGATTACAGTAATATACAAACAAAGTTTTCAAGTTTTTAAGCTAATTGTAGTGTTAATTTTGTGCGAGAACATATTTTGAGAACCAAAGGGGTGCAGGCTGCAGTAAAGGTTAAGAACCACTGGTATAAACACTTTAAAGATAATCTGAACAGCAGTCTCCAGTGGGCTGTTATCAGTCCCAAAGAACTTGAGCAAATGGCTCAGAACAGGACTCACTGGCAGTCTCTGACAAGATCAGCATGTAACAGTTTTGAGCAGGTTCAACAAAATAATCCCCAGGCTGCACGTGAAAGGTGCCAGAGAGCTGCATCATCAAACATCATAGAAACAGACTTCCCATGCCCTCAGTGTGGCTGACTCTGTGCATCAGGGTTTGGACTTCAGAGTCATATACGTAACCATAGATGAGAACTGCAACAATATCGTTGTCATAGTCAGCAATGGACTAACAACATACACATAACCTGCCATCTCTCCAGATCAGCCTCATCTCAGAATCTTGCCCATAGTATTTTTAAAAAAGGATTATCCAACTTTAAAGAAACTTATTTACAGAATTGTAATAGCTGGTTTAGAGAAATAGTAGCCCACTGTGTAAGAGCTTCTAAAATGGGTGTTTTCTCCATACAAAGCACACCCTAGTTGTCACACCCTACCCCACACTGTAATCCATGCAGGGTATCCTCAAACTACTGCAACCCATATTCAATGGGGACCCCATACTGAAAGATCTTTTCTGAACCCCTCTTCTGGCCTTCAAACACCCCCACACACACCTTCTCCAAGCTCATCAGAAGCAAGCCATCCACAGACCAGGACACACTAACTCTAAGTGGCATCAGACTCTCCCAGAACAACAAATGCAAAACCTGCAGACACATCTCCACTGCTACAATGATCAACACTTACCACAACACACCTTTCAAGATCCATGGATGTACCTCATCAAGCGCACTAAATGTTCCAATAGCAACAGCTTAGTGTCCTCCACAAACTTGCTGAGGGTGAAATCCATCCCATCATCCAGATCATTAATGAAGATGTTGAACAAAACCAGCCCCAGGACTGACCCCTGGGGCACTCCGCTTGATACTGGCTGCCAATTAGACATCGAGCCATTGATCACTACCTGTTGAGCCCGACAGTCTAGCCAGCTTTCTGTCCACCTTATAGTCCATTCATCCAATCCATATTTCTTTAATTTGCTGGGAAGAATACTGTGGGAGACCGTATCAAAAGCTTTGCTAAAGTCAAGGCATATCACATCCACTGCTTTCCCCTCATCCAATCAGGTTGGTCAGGCATGACTTGCCCTTGGTGAATCCATGTTGACTGTTCCTGGTCACCTTCCTCTCCTCCAAGTGCTTCAAAATGGATTCCTTGAGGACCTGCTCCATGACTTTTCTGGGGACTGAGGTGAGGCTGACTGGTCTGTAGTTCCCTGGGTTTTCCTTCTTCCCTTTTTAAAAGATGGGCACTATATTTGCCTTTTTCCAATCGTCCGGGACCTCCCCTGATCACCATGAGTTTTCAAAGATAATGGCCAATGGCTCTGCAGTCACATCAGCCAACTCCCTCCGCACCATCGGATGCATTGCATCTGACCCCACAGACTTGTGCATGTCCAGCTTTTCTAAATAGTCCTTAACCTGTTCTTTCGCCACTGAGGGCTTCTCACTTCCTACCCATACTGTGCTGCCCAGTGCAGCAGTCTGGGAGCTGACCTTGTCTGTGAAGACCGAGGCAAAAAAAGTATTGAATACTTAATCATTTTTCGCATCGTCTGTCACTAGGTTGCCTCCCCCATTCAATAAGGGTTCCACAGTTCCCCTGACCTTTTCCAGCGGAAAGCCTATTCTTCAGCTATGCTCCAGTTCCACATAGCTAACTATTCAGCACCGCTGGCTATAAATTTCATTCTTTATATCCTATATTTTACTTTTTTTTTCTTCAAAAAAATTTATAGATTTTTTTTTTTTTTTTTTTTTTTTCCCCCTTCTCTTTTACCCTGCCTCTCCAGCAGGTACTCGGCTTTAGGGGGGAAAAACCAAGAAGAGAGAAACAAAAATGGGGTTATACCTCTTTCTCCAAAGCAATTACCCTCTCAGGCATGCCCGGCTCTCCCTGACTTTAAACACTACCTGACCTACAGACTTTCAATACCTATCTCAGATGGCCATGCACAGTGTATCCACTGCCTTGGCGAGACACACATCACCCAAAAGCATCCACACTGCAAAAAATTATCTGCTAGGACAAGGAAGGCCAGGGATCTCCAATTGAAACTTCTGATGATAGAGAAATCCCTCAGACCAGCCTCCGACCCCGAGTCCAGGATTCCTGTTGGCCAATGGTCACCAGTAGCAGCGTCTGACAGGGGATCTACTTCAAAAACAGCTGCTAAGGAGCCTGCTCCCAAAAAGCAGTCACACTAATTGTCACAATGAGATTCACCTAAAAGAAAGCAATCTCTGAGTGAAAAGTCTGCCACCGGTACCGGTAAAGGACTTGCTAACGTGGTGTACAAATCTGCCCTGGTACCGATGGCACTGAGAGCGCTGGACTGTGAGGCACCAAAAATGTCCAGTACTGAGACTTCCCAAGGAGCTAAACACCCTATGCAGGCAAGCTCTCATGGAGGTACATGCACTAAAGCCAAACTTCCCAGCTTGGCGCCTACGGAGCCAAAGAAAACCTCAGCTCCATCAGAGTACAGCTGGCTGCCATCACATCCTTCCACGACAAGATGGACAGTCACGATCTTTGCTCATCCAATGACTAAACACTACTTTAAAGACCTAGAAAACACTTATCCCACGCTAAGAAACCCTACTCCCATGTGGGATCTCAACCTTGTTCTCTGCAGTCTCATGGGGAAATCGTTTGAACCCCACACAACTTGCTCTTTGTTACACTTATTGATGAAGGTGGCTTTCCTCATTGCCATCACGTCAGCAAGACAGGTTGGAGAATTAGGTGCCCTAATGGCACACCCATGTTATATTACGTTCTTCAAGGATAAAGTAATCCTACAACTGCATCCCAAATTCATACCCAGAGTGGTCTCCCCTTTTCATTTAAATCAGCCCATTTACTTACCTTTTTTTTTTCCCGAAGCCAAGTGCTGGCAGCAGGGAGGCCTCACTTCGCATGCTGGACATTCGCAGAGCGTTCGCTTTCTACATAGAAAGAACAAACATTAGAAAATCATCTTGACTATTTGTTTCCATAACAGAATGTTCGAAGGACCAAACCATCTCAAAACAGACTATCTAAATGGATATCCAGATGTATCCATTTGTGCTACCAAAACGGCTATCTGCAAGCTCCACTGGGAGTTTGCACACACTCCACCAGAGCATTACCAGCATCTATGGCCTTTCTCAATAATGTACCCATCAGACATTTGCAAAGCATCTATCTGGGCATCTGCCCATACCTTCACTAAACGCTATGCTTTAGAACAACAATCAGTTGCAGATGCTCAGTTTGGACTCATGGTGTTATCCACCATCAATGAATCAACTCCAAAGCCCCTCCCCTCCATGGAGGGGCACTGCTCAACAGTCACCTAAAGTGGAGCACCCACAGGGACATCCTCAAAGAAGATAAGGTTACTCACCTTGTGCAGTAACTGCAGTTCTTCAAGATGGTTGTCCCTGTGGGTGCTCCACTATCCCACCTCCCCTCTCCTTCGGAGTTTCATGCCAATCCTCTGGGGTAGAGAAGGAACTGGGGGATGGCTGGCTGTGCACGCTAGGTAATCAATTGGAGTGGGACGGCTGCCACGCATGTGCAGCCAACTAGGCACTGCTACTACAAATCTCCAGTTACAAGCACAGGGAACCAAGATAACTAAAGTGGAGCACCCACAGGGATAACCATCTCAAATAACCTCAGTTACTGCACAAGGTGAGTAACCATCTCTTCCTTGACCTCACATGGCATTCTTTGTACAGAATGTATATACCAGAATCAGGATATTCTTGTAACCCCCTTGCCACTTGGCATTGAGGGGTTCTTGGGTCATACCTAGAAACAGCCAAATCAAAACGTAAATTATAAATTCAAATTGTTGCAAAAACAACCAGGTGGATG